ACTATTCCTTACTTTCGTATAACCTCACAGCACATAGACGACTGTTAATGGGAATCCAGTCGAGCAATGCAGCCTCGGCTCTAGCGCTCAGTGCGACACCACTTAGTCAGCTCGTTACTATCATTGTCGAAAGACACCTGAACGCATGTGAGAAATGGTCTATATCCATATTGCTTAACTCACAGCACCCTCTCTCTATTCAAAACTCTACCACCCTCCACCACTTGCATCTCATCATATAAGAGGACTAAAAGTCATTATAAAAGATTTTATGCTCGCACAACCAAGTACAGGACTGACTGACTTCAACATACAACTTTGCACCGATGTGCAGCTGTTCGAGTCGCCACACTTCACTCAACAAACAAAGCAAGAGAAGAAAGTAGAGACAGTAAGCAGAGATATGAGGCAAAAAGAACAGTAATATACAAGAACAGTAGAGTTTTACTGGATATAATAAATCACAAAATGTGAATGCATCTGTACTAGGCATTCAGAACGATTTTCAGCCCTTATCTTCAGCCATTGGTTCTTACCGTGCCGACGACACCAACCAGTCAGACACTCTCCGTCTCCCCCATGTAGTTTACACTAACTGTTGTGGATTTCATTGACTGATGAAGCCATGTTAGTTTTGGTTTGACCACCACTGGCTCTTTTCCAGCCTACTCCATCCTATGTCAACTAACACTGCCCAGTGGAGGAAGGTGATGGCTAGGCATACGTAACACATGTCCTAACCATCTCAATCGACGTAACTTCACAGCCTTGTCAGTTGATTTTTCCTCCCTTCTTAAGCTAGCACTCGACCGAAGTTTAACGTCAATACTGCTCACCCTATTATACCACTTCATACGGGAGATAGAACGCAGGCACCTATAACCAAGTACAGGAACTCAAAGATACCCTATTTGGCCCGCCCAACCACGTTCTGCTTGATCAAGATAGTGTTAAGCATGAAACTTACGATTCACTGTGTAATTAGCATAAAAAATGGTTCAGTTATTTTTTCTCATATTTGTAATTTGATGGTGACACTCACTATCCCCGTTATCTTATGATTTTGTGTTATTAATAGCAATATTACTATTACTGTTCTTATCATTTTACATTTATACATCATTGAAACCCTACTGTTTCTGCTTTAGCCTAAAGTTGATGGATGTTATTGATTTTGGTTAAGTGTACCCAGTAGTGTATTTTTGCTGTTGTTTTTGCTGTCGAGTAAATTAGGTGCAATTCTGCGCAAAATACTGAAGATTTCACACTGTATTATAAGTAATGTTTCTTCTGGAATATAGCAAATTATTATTATTTTATGAAATTCACTCAATTCCATTGAAGAGAAAACACCAAATATACAATTCAAAGTGTACAAAGTTCCACAACTCACAGCATTTCCAATAGACAGGTTACAGGCAATGTTAGCTGACATAGGGTCAGGCTGGAAAAGAGTTAGCGGCGGTCAAACCAAAACATGGCACCAGTCAATGAAATCCGCAACAGTTAGTTTGAGCCACGTAGGAAGGTGTAGACTTACTGACTAGTTGGGGTCCTCGTGACGGTAAAAACCAATCAAGGCTGGAGACAACTGATGATAAGGCTCAAAATCGTTCTCAGTGGCTGGCGCAGATGCATCCACTCCTTGTGACTTATGATTTCCAATTAAACTGTCTTGTTCCCCGTTATTACTATTCCTTTGTCTCACACCTCTGTTTACTGTCTCTATTTTGCATTTCTTCTCTTGCTTTGTGTGCTACATGAAGGGAGTGTGGTGACATGAACTGCTGCACATCGGTGCGAAGTTCTATATCAAAAACAGACAGACAGACAATGCTTAACCCTTTACTCCGCCTTATTTTCTGAGTTAGGTGTGACATAATAGGGTGAATAAATATTGAGGTTAGGCCTCGGTTGAGTGCTAGGTAAGGAGGGAAACACTAGATCGATGAAATACATTGACTGAGATGGTTAGGACATGTGTTACATATGCACACCAAGCCATCGATTGCCCTCGTCGACGGCCAGTAGTAGCTGGCGTAGAAGCAGGTTAGAAAAGAGCTAATAGAATCAGTTAGTCTGAGCCATATAGAGACGTGTAGACTTGCCTGACTGGTTAGGGTCGTCAGAATGATAAGAACAAATGAAGGCTGGAGACAGTTGGTGGTGATATGGCTCAATATCGTTCTCAATGGCTAGCGCAAATGCATTCACTATGTGACCTGTTATAACCAGGAAAACTCTATTGTCTTTCTGTGATTATTCTTCCTTCTTCACATTGCTGCTTATAATCATTCTTCGGAACCTCTTTTTTTTATAATGTTTGGTATTCCGTTGTATGCTTCATGGAGGTGTGACAAATTGAACTGGTGTACTTCTGTGCAAAGGTCTATGTGTTGTAACTAGTCAGTCAGTCAAACTTAGACTTTTTGTTCAAGATTCTGAAGATGAGGATAAACACGAAGGGACTCAATCTGGCAGAGAACCAGACAACAACCACCTCTCTCTAGAGTCCTATGTTCCCCTTGAAACCCAAAGAATGAACCCTGACAAAATAATAATAATACCTATTCATGATTTTAGAGAGACCATTGCCAGACAATGCCAGTGGCAACGAGTATTTCTCCTCACTCCCAACTGGGTGGTGGTGGACCTCCAGAGGGCTTTCTCCTGTAGCCAGTCGCTCATTCACTTACTAAGGAGCATCACATCAGATCATGGGACAATGAGTTGGAGGTTACAGTGGTTGGCTGACTGGTCTATGAGCTTGCTTTGTTGTAAACAGAAGAAGGCCCTTAGTTCGAATCTTGGAAGTGGGTGAGCAAGGACGATGAATCCAAGACTAGGATGTAAAAGCTGACTAACCAGTACTCCCTAACTGTAGTTTTCAATAGTTCTCTCGCTCTGCCTGATATCAATCCATCGTCACAATTGAAACAAATTAAATTCGGCAAAGTTCTACAATAGAGTCACAGGGGATGCGAACGCACGAGTGACCATGAGCCGACCAATGAGGAAAAATGCCGATTTTTGCATAAAATTTTATGTTTATTTACATGAAACATAAAAAACACTAAACAGGATATTTTTCTCTAATATGAGATGAAAAATCTCCCAATTTTGTAGAGGGGTTTCAGTTTTTAAATTGAACCAATTCCTATACATATATTCATCTAGGTGACTGAAAACAACTTCGTTTTGAGATCCGTTGATCGCTCTGATGCCATTTTTCAGTCTTCCCCAGAAGCCTTCGATTGAATTGGTATGAGTACCGGTCCTGGGGTCGACGAAGTCATCGGAATGGTTGACTCGATGATGTATATAACCCAGTTGCGATAATCGGTTGTATCCTGCCCATTCATCTGTGTGAATGGTGGTGCCTGGTAAGACGAGACGCTGAATAATAGGGAGGAGTGTATCAGCACTCCTATCTAGAATCAGCTCGATAAGCCCTTTGCGAATCTGGGTGTCATAAATTCCTAAAACCCAAACGTTATTCGCTATGGCACGCCCCGATTGTACTTCTTCTTGATAAGAACGGTTTCATCGATATGGACGACTACACAGACTCCTCCCAACACCTGAGTAATACTATTCATCTTCCACGAGGCTAAATCTCGACAAAATTGAAACCACTGCACAGTAGACGTCAACGTATTAGCTGTTTGAGCCGCAGTAAATCGCACCCCGGACTTTAAAACCCAGTAATTGGACAGAAACAAGATATTCATCGAAGACAGTTTCAACTTTTCAAAGAAAGTTCCTAGAAGATAATTAATTCAGAGTGTTACTTACCAGTACGCACACTTATTCGTGCTAGAATAATGGTAAGCTTCCTCAACCAATGACTAGCATGCGTTCAGGGTCATTGGGACACTCACAAGGTCATTGGAACATTTACAATCCTGGGACTCTATTCTTGTACTTCGCCTTAAATTCCTCAAAAGAATGGTTACTGAACAAAGAGTACTCTTTTGGATAACTTCATCATCAGGTTCTACAGTTACATATACATGATAGTAGTGAATGAATTAGTGTTATGAACAACATTAATGTTGTTTAAATAACATCGAATCAATAATATTGATAGATTACAGCTCATTGGCGTGAACATAAAATAAGTTGAATGTCAGAAAAATTAGGAAAGATAATATTACAAATTCATGAATTTATAGTCTCCACTGAAGGCAAAGGCAGTAATAGGGGCTGGACTTGCTTCTTTTGAACACAGAGCACTGGTTGTTTAAGGTAAATTGCAATAGCCTCTACTGTTTGGAGCATGTGGTGCTTCGACGATTTTGGTAATTTGTAAGGCACCCGGTAGATGGTGCAAATCGGCCACAAAGCCAGCCAGGATTGAAGAATCCTTCTCTATAATCAAACGGGTGCCTAATCAATTGCCAAAATCATCGAAGCACCGCATTCTCCAAACAGCAGAGGCTGATGCAATTCCCTCAAACAACCAGTGCTCTGTGTTCAAAAGAAGCAAGTCCAGCCAGCCCCTACTACTGCCCTGGCCGACCTTCAGTAGAGACTAGAAATTCATGAATTTGTAATATTATCTTTCCTAATTTTTCTGACATTCAACTTATTTTATGTTCATGCCAATGAGCTGTAATCTATCAATATTATTGATTCAATGTTATTTAAACAACAACATTAATGTTGTTCATAACACTAATTCATTCATTCACTATAATGTATATATAACTGTACAGCCTGATGTTGAAGGGGTTATCGAAAAGAGTTCTCTTTCTTCAGTATCCATTCTTTTGAAAAATTAAATTCCTACAGACTAACTCAATCCTTTGCACCTACCAACAACATTCCTACTATTCATGAGATAAACAATAGGACAAAGTCAGCGTGAGAAAGTTGAAGTTGACGCTACACAACACACACACACACAGAGGGAACACAACCATTTCAAATAACTGTTTCCCCACCCCACACACATTCGCACGACAGCTGATATGGCGAGAGAAAAAAAGTCACACAAAAAAGGAAAAAATATTTTCTTTCTTTCAAAAAAAGAACTTTAATTCAAATGAAAACTTTTAAAAAAATAACTTTTTTTTCCATAGATATTGTTTGTAGAAGCTTGTGTCCATGAGTGCGGGTGTGTGTGCGCGCACGCAAGCAGCAACTGAACTTCATTCAATACAGATGATTCCCGTAAACCCACCCACTCACACACACACACATAAAGAAAGAGGGAATATATAAAGGATAAACAACAATAATAATAATAAAAGATTTTCAGATTTTCTAACTGAACAATAATACTGATTATCATTATTGTTATTATTATTATTATCACCATTATGAAACAAGGTATTCTTAACCCATTCATCGAAGGAAAATACACAAAGAAATTCTATACAACAATTGTGGGAATAGTATTGGTAGTAGTAGTAGGAGTAATAGTGTACATTAAATGAATTTGGGACCCCACACCACGCCACTGCGTCGTTGACCCACCCTCCCCTGGCAATCACAAAGTGACAATCATCCTTCACACAGAACACATTTTATCTGCTAGTGGTCCAACCACAGGAAGAAGAAAATCATACACCAGGGAAGAAAAAATTAACACAAGGGGAAAAACTAGGGAAAAGGAAATATTAACATTGATTTATTCCCCGTCAGGCCGGGGCAAGGGGGGGGGGGGGAGGACAGCTGTTCTTGTCTCTTGAACAACAATATGTATATTTATTTATTTATTTACTTATTTTACAATATTTTAACCGGAATCTGATACAGTTGTCAGCGCTGCTGCAGCTGTTGTTGTTGTTGTCTGGGACTGGGGGACAACACATGATTGCATTTGATGATTGTCGTCATCGACCACCATCACCGGCATTGGCTGGAATTCTTCAGAGTCATTGAAACTATCATTTCGTTCGAAGACGCTACGTTCATCATCAAGCGGTGTTAATTGACCACTGGCATCACCTCCACTACTAGCACTGGCATCATCATCAACTGGTCCTAGGTTGGCTGTCTGTTCAACATCATCCCAACATAGGTTGGGCAGGATACTTTGATTTGAATATAACCATGGTTTCTGATCTGGATTATTTGATTGTTTCCAGGCATCATATTTACTGCATGCTTTATATAGTAGTTGGATTGCTTTAGGAGCCATAAATTGTGTTGCCTTATTGATAACCCAGATTGGTATTTTACCTAGCAGAAATGGATGATGCAATAGGAGACATATATGCGCATTATATTATGTGAATGAAATATTCGTATATTGAGTCATAAGGAGAAGAAAAAAGAGAAGACGTTGACAGTGAAGAAAATTTTCCTTTAGACGATTCATTTTCATAAGCTGCTGCACAATTATAATTATAGAAATCCCTGCAAACTAGCAAATAAATATCAATCTGTTACTCACTCTCTGTCTCTCTGTTTTTGACACAGAACTTTGCACATATGTGCGGCAGTTTGAGTCGCCACACTCCATGTAGCACACAAAGCAAGAGAAGGAAGTAGCAGAAATGCATATTAGAGACAGTAAACAGAGGTGTGAGAAAAAGGTATAGTAATAACGAATAACAATATAGTTCCATTGGAAATTATAAGTCACAAGGAGTGGATACATCTACGCTAGTCACTGAGAACAATTTTGAGCCATATCACCAATTGTCTCCAGCCTTCATTGGTGTTTGCCATCCCGAGGACCCCAACCAGTCAGTAAGTCTACCCCTTCCTACGTGGTTGGTTGGCTTAAACTAACTGTTGGGTATTTCATTGACTGATGAAGCCATGTTTTGCTTTGACCACCACTAGCTCTTTTCCAACCTGACCTTATGTCAGCTGACTAACATTGCCCATTGTCGAGGAAGGCGATGACTAGGCATACGTAACACATGTCCTAACCATCTCAGTCGATGTAATTTCACAGTCTCGTCTATTGCCTTCCCCTCCTTACCTAGCACTCGACGCCTAACTTCAATATTACTCACCTTATTATACCATTTCACGCGGGAGATAGAACGCAGACACCGATGATCGAAGACAACTAATCTTTTCATGTCTTCCACTCTCAATGGTCAGGTCTCACAGCCATAAATGAGGAGGGAGCCGACTGCTGAGCAGTACACCCACCCTTTGGTCGATAGGCGAACATCACGTCTACGCCAGAGACGGCGTAAACTGTAATTCCATTATGGGTAAATTTTATTTTGATAAAGTCTCACAGTGTTATACAGTGATATTTACTGATGACTACGTTTCAAGCACAATTTATTGCTCATAGTCATACCTTGATATGATTATGAGCAATAAATTGTGCTCGAAACGTCATTAGTAAATATCACTGTATAACACTGTGAGACTTTATCAAAATAAAATTTACCCATAATGGAATTACACTCTACCACAGTGCACAAGTTTTATTCTTATATCAACAGCGTAAACTGGCATATGCGAAACTAGACCTCTGTATCCGTGCTGAGATTTCGTCAGAGATCAACCCGTTGGGGCTGATGGTACTTCCCAAGTAAGTGAAGTGGTCAACGTGCTCTACCACTTCACTTCCTATTTCTAAACTAGGTGTCAGTGTAGTCCAATCCTGCAGCATCATCTTAAACTATACAGGGGCGAACCGCATGCCAAACATACGAAGATTGTTGCTCAAAGTGTTCAGAAGACTCTGCATTTTGTCAGCGTCCTCGCCTAGAAGGACTATATCGTCCGCATATTCTAAGTCGACGAGATTATTCCCTGGTAGCAAGTCAATCCCTGAGTCGCTGAAGTGTGTTAGGGTTAAGTCCATTAGTACGTCTATGATGAAATTGAATAGAAATGGGGATAATGGTCATCCCTGACAGACACCACTAGTCGTCACCACTTCAGATGACAACTCGCCGTAATCCCTCACCTGGCTGCATGAGTTCGAGTAGAGTGCCTTGATTAGTGCAATGTATTTTCTCAGCATTCCCTTTAGAGTCAAGCATCGCCAGAGAACCTCCCGGTCTACAGAATCGAATGCCGCCTTTAGGTCAAGAAATATAATGTTACTCACTAGTGACTGGCCATATTCAAGTAGGCAGGTAGTTATCTGGGTTTTAGTGGGAAGTCGTGACCACCAGTGGGATACAGCAGGTCGGATGTGAGGATAAATATTCGCCACGGATGACGCTGGCTAGTGGTCGCGCTATGTTGTGAATTGGCAGGAGTTGGAATCCATGGGCCGGTGGCGATTGGATCGGGTTCCAGCGGCTGCTTAATGGTCTACGATGTCGCCTTGTAACCAGAAGGTCGCGGGTTCAAACTTCGGCGGGTGAGTACTGATGAAAAGTTCCAAACTAAGGCGAAACAGCTTTCCAGTCCTCCCTGCAGTTTTTCCAATGGTTCTCTCTAACCAATGTCAGTTCATGATGAAATCCTGAAACCAATGAAATCCAAGCAAACCAACAGTCGAAAATCATAATTTGACGAAGAATTTTTAAGACCAATCATATAGTGGTAAAATGTCCTTGAAAAATAGATTACATAATGTAAGGTGTAGTCTAGAAGGGATGACTAATTTGCTCCACATGAACAAGTATGCAATGTCAAGTTAGCAAACGTATTCTGGAATGCTGTCCAGTCTGGATAGCCAGAGGAGCAAAGAAGAATACCAACAGCTCTATCCTCAAACACCTTGTCAAATCTAAGCATCGAACACCCTCACAGGAATGCATCACAGAGATACACAGAGTTCTGCAGTATCGCATGAAAACACTTCGATTACATCTATACACAGCTGAATCGTTGGCTATCCGAAATCTGAAACCGGATATCCGCCTTCAAAAGCACTACATACATTCACTCATTCACCCTACTGTGGCCAGGGTAGAGTTCTTACTTCACTTGATTTTATCATTATTATTTTCATCATCCCTATTTTATTACCACTCTATTACTGCTTATTAATAACATTGCTTATTCATACAGATTTGATATAAAAGCACTTTGTCGTCTTTCCACTAGTTCCTGTCCATTCTACACAATTATATTGATTAGTCATTTTCCCATACTTATTACGTCATTCCAACTTCCACCCGGTTTTTCTGATCTCCAAATAGTCATCCCCTTCTGGATTACACCTTACATTACGTAATACATCTTTCGAGGACAATTTTCGCCAGTATCTTGATATAAGTATAAAACTTGGGCACTGTGATGGTAGAGTATAACTCCATTATGGATAAGATTTTATTTTCATAAATCAAACAGTGTTACACAGTAATATTAACTGATGACCATGTTTCGAGCACAAATTATTGCTACTCATAATCATATCAAGTTACTCACTCACACAACTTTTTCCTTCATTTACATACATGTGTGGAATTGACTAGGTATGTGAATGAAAATCAATATGGGATAATGTACATTCAGAAATAATAATATGAGTGTTATTGATCAATAACAATCACATGGGAAATAAGGCGAGTGTTTTTTATAGTCATAATAAGCAACTTGTTAGAATGTTGTGATTTGCTTGAATTGAAATAGAATTTTGAGATTATTTATTATCCTCCTCTGATTTCACTGACTGGTGGTAATAATATCTTCTATACATATTTCTGGTATTTGCATTGAGTCATTTCTGTTGCATGTGTTGTGTTGCGTGTAGACTCAATGAACTCAATGAAGGATTCAGTAATCAATCTCTCTCTCCACCTACATAGATTACTTCTTAGAATCCTAACCCTCTCCCACACTATTGTGTGTTAATGCATGCAGTGCAATTGCTGAGCTTTTTTCTAAATTACTTATCTTCTCAGGGTCAACCATTCTTACCTTATCTAAATTCTTATGTTCCGACAATCTGATCACCCCCTATCTACTAGTTTGACCTATATAGTTGACCTCACAATCATTGCAAGGTATTTTGTAAATTATATTATTTTGCTTAGTTGGGTCCACCGGGTCTTTTAGCCGACAGAGCTTGTCTCTGAGTGAGTTTGTAGGTTTGAATGCCACCCTAATTCCTGATTTATTAAGAATCCTACGTAGGGTCTCAGATGTCCCCTCCTTCTATGGTATAACAGTAGATGACTTATATTCTCTCTTATTTGTGTTATCATTACTAGTTTCACCATTATTTTTAGTTGGCTTTTGGCCTTTTTCAATCTTCCTAATGAATTTTATAATATAGTTAGTTATTTAACACTAACGCTTGTTCTATCTGTTTCATTTCATCATTTAAGTCTCTTTCTGTGCTACTTAGTGCTATTGCTCGGTTTGTTAGACACTTAACTAAGCCAGCCTTTACAGACAGATAACGGATGAGATGAATGAAAGTCGAAATATCTATTAGAATGCGTTGGTTTTCTTCACGCCAGTATCTGATTCGTCTTTTGAATTCTTTATTAGATATAATCACGATTGATTGCACTGCTTATAAAAATGAATCGTCAAAAAGAAAATTCTCTTCGGTATTTACATCTTTTTATGACATGCATATTATAATAATTATTATTATAATAAAACAGATTTAGTACATTGTGGGCACCGAGAGATGCGCCACACACACACACCTGTGAAGAACTCCACAACAAGCTGGATTCAGGGCTTTGATATGATTATGAGTAGCAATAATTTGTCCTCGAAACAACACATGAGTAAATTTTACTGTATAACACTGTGCGATTTTATCAAAATAAAATATTCTATCCATAATGGAGTTATACTCTACCACAGAGCGCCGAAGGTTTATCCTTATATCAGAAATATATGTCCTGACCATCTTAATGAATGCAGCTGCTTCACAACCTCGTCGATTGACTTTCACCTTCCTTCTCACCTAGCACACGACCGATTTCCAACCGTATAATGAAGGCTAGGGTGGCATAAATCAACTTGATCCACCTCTGGTGCCGTCGCGACGTTTGCCTGGTTGTCAAAAATCTGGTATACAATGCTTCGGTGCGGGCTGTCTTGCTCTACGCCCGTGAAACCTGGCCTCTTCGAGCTGAGGATGTGCGGCGACTCTGCGTGTTCGATCATCGCTGTCTCCGCAGGATTGCTTGCGTTCGATGGCATCATCGCGTGGGTAATTCTGAGGTTCGGTGGCGTGTGTTTGAACACAGTGGAGATCACCATTCATTGAGTGCCGTCATCTGGAAACACCGGCTCCGGTGGCTTGGACACGTCCTGCGAATGTCATCCCAGAGGCTTCCGTACAG